AATGAACATCAACGGGGAGAAAAAGCCGAGGCCTGTCGGCTCTAGTTTCCTTTCCCGTCGGCCTAATTTCCCCTGCCCCTGAAGCTCGGCTATCTTTTCTTATTTTCTTTTTTGCTAATTTCTCGCGTCTTCTTTCTTTCTTTCTTATTGTGAGTCTTATTCTCATCCGGGATTTGCTGGGATTAATTCCGAGCCCAGGCCAGGCTCTTTTCCGTTTTTCTCCCCCGCGTTGAGAAGGCCGGCGGAAAACTCCAGATGCTCCACAATGGAAGATCGGGGGGATCCCCGGGATCCTCGGGAGCCATGAGCAGAAAGCGCGAACAAAGGCCTCTCATTATGCTGCTTCCGTTTTTTTTTCATGAGGAAGTGCGCGAATATGGAGTATGACTTTGAAGCCGTCATGCTTTACTTTTGGCAGATTTTTGTGATCCAAATAATATAGTCCTACGAATAATAGCAAAACTCATGGTTTTTTTTTCTGGCCCCCGATATTTTTCTTTTGTGGTAAAAATGAAATACGTTAAAAGGAAATATCTACAGTGCTGGCCCATCAGTCTTGAAGGCAAGTTTTTTTCTTTCTGAAATCGTGAAATGAAAATGGAAAATGATGGTCTTATTCTCTTTGACAGCTGTTCTATGCGTTCGTTGACTTTTTATGATTTTAAGTCAAAAACTTTATCTTGTCGTCTCAATGAATTATGAAATAACGTCTATGAGGTCATTTTTAATTATTTTCTCTCAATTTTTTTTGTTGCTCGGAGATTTTCTGTCAAATTCAAGTCCCAAGAAAAAATCGTGGTTCTCACGCGGAAGCTTATGTATTGCATAATTATATTTTTAAAATTCAGTACCTTATTGGCCAGCAGAGTTCAGAGGTTTTTATTTGCAGGTTGGTTTTATAGTAGGAAATTTAAAACGTTTATCATGAAATGTTTTTTAAAAATCGATATTCCAGAATTTCAGTCCTTTTTTCTGCTAATATGAAGAACATAAAAGCAGATTTTATACCATTTCAATGTTGCTTTGAAAAGCAGTGCGTGTCAAGAGTCTGTTAATCCGGATTTGACGAATAGCCTCTTTCCCAATATGGAAAGGCTTTTTTCCCAATATGGAAAGATTTTTTTGTTGGAAAATTGCAACTGATGGTGAATAGAAGTAACAGGATTAGCTCATTGCTTGTTTAATTTCTGCTGAATTCATTCACCTTTAAGGATTATGATGTTATTTTTTATTTGCAGGAAATTTGAGTAACATTGCATTTTTTGATTCACTGTTGAACAGAGAGTTTTTTAATTACATACTGACTTTTGGTTGCATTCATTCAACAACAATTTCAAAAGTGGGAATGCACATGAACACATGGAATTCACCATTGATATTCAATTCACGGAAGGAATGCACACATGAAATCACATTGAACACACAGTAAAAAAAATTTGGGAATTTGGAAGATTCAAGAGAGTGGAAAATTATTTTTCTATCAATTTTTTGAAATTTCACTTTTTCATGGAATTTTCACATGTTTCAAAATATTTTTCATTGCCAAAAAACAAATGCTTTGATGAATTTCTGGTCAGGATTTCACAATTTTTTGAGGAAAAAATATGTTAATTTGTTTGAAAAATTTAAATTGATTCCTGAGTTGATTTGAAGAAAGAAATATGCCATGGACCTTTAACTTACAGCTCTGCTACCATTTTTGTATGAAATCACATTGAACACACAGTAAAAAAAATAAAATGTGGGAATTTGGAAGATTCAAGACAGCAGGAAATTAATCTTCTATCAATTTTTTGAAATTTCACTCTTTCATGGAATTTTCACATGGTTTGAAATATTTTTCATGGCAGAAAAACAAATGCTTTGATCAATTTTCGATTAGGATTTCACAATTTTTTGAGGAAAAAATATGTTAATTTATTTGAAAAATTTAAATTGATTCCTGAGTTGATTTGAAGAAAGAAATATGCCATGGACCTTTAACTTACAGCTCTGCTACCATTTTTGTTAGAGACTAAAAAGTCTCCACAAAGAAAATATGAGAAAGATGAATAAAACACAACATTCAGCCTGGGACTGGCTGGGAGCCTCTTTAAAGAGGCCCCAAAAGTATTGAGTGTTTAATTATGTCCCAAAGAATAAATGCAACTCAAATAATTTTGGACCTTGCACACACATTTCAAACAACACAATAATAAATTCAGATGTCTTAAGATGAGCTCTTCACACTTCAAGAACTGGCAGTGGAATGAANGGACCTTGCACACACATTTCAAACAACACAATAATAAATTCAGATGTCTTAAGATGAGCTCTTCACACTTCAAGAACTGGCAGTGGAATGAATTTCATTGTTACATGTTTTTGGAGACAGAAGAAAGAAGGAAAAGTGGTTTTCCTTGTGGGCAAAATATTGGCCTCTGATTGGCTGATTATGTTGGAATCGAAGACGATGCTGTGCATCGTCCTACAATTCCTTCGGGACTCGTTTTTTGGTGCTGGTGGCTTGGCTGATGCAAAGGACCAGTTTTTGAGATGCAGCGGGGATAGTTATTATAATTTACAGGTGCCTGACTTGTTCCCCAACAGTGTCAAATGAAAAAAAATATTACTGTTCTCATATATTTGTGAGACTATCATCTAGATTCTAGAGCATCTGGACAGACGTTATTCTGCTTCTGGTCTAATTTGAGACGCCAAATTAAATTTCCTCTTTGAAAGCCGCCATGTTTTCTAGTAATGAAAATTTTCAAAACGAACCTTCAATCGTATTTTTTTCAGTTATTGAGCAAAAAACTGTGCAGTGAAATGATGACAAAGCTGCTCAATTTATCATTTTTAAATTTAATAGTAATTTTTCTCACTGCCCCCGAGGGCAATCACGCCGTGACCATCAGTGAACCAATAATGGATGGTCCAGTAGAACGGTTTTATCTTGAGCCGGACCCCACTAAAGGCAAGAAATTCAGAGTTCTCTTGAATCCAACGGAACTTGAAGAGAGACAAGCTAAAGATTTCCTTGATCGGATGGAAATCAAACAAAACCGCATTTGCTACAAGGAAGCGGATGCTCAGTTCACCTACTGGAGCAACATAACAGACGAATCCGAAGCCAAAGCGGCGAGTTTGAGCATTAAAAAAAAATTCAGCTCTCAGATTAGCTTGGATTTGCATCTTGAAAATATTTTGTCAATTATATGCGCAGAACGCTGAGAGTTCGGAATATCACGAGAAAAACCGGTTCTTCAGTGAATGCCAAAATCGTGCATTTGACGAAAACGGACCTTTCCCAAATTGGCGACGGTACGACGCGAAAATCAAACAGTTAATAGACAGGGACAAACGCGAATATCGGAATAGCTACAGTTCTACAGTGAACCAAACCGTGAGCAACATTTTGTTTGCGATTTTTGTTCCCAGTTGGAAAAGGTGTGAGAAAAGAAAACAGGAAAATTATTTTCATAGTCCATTAAATATCCAGCATTGAGAAGAGCATTCTTGCAGAAATTAAAGTTGGCTTTTCTCCTAATAAAACTGTATTCACATTTTCACTGGATGAGGCGAATTATTTCAATTTTTAATTCTGAGAAACCTTTCTTCCAGCCCAACTTTCTAATTTTTTGAGGCCACTGTAGCTGATTCCTTGGTTCTTAACTTAATTCTTGAAAAAAGTGAAATTATTTTATTCCTGCCATGAGGTCTTTCAAAAAAAACTTTTTCGAGCTCGCTAAAATTTTATGAAACTTTGTCGATCCGTGAATTTTGTTTTTCTTTGGTGGAAATTCGCAGAGAAAGCCAACGAAGTCATTCAAAATGAAGCCAAAATGTATCCAAACCTGACCATCTTGAACTTATTCAACTTATAAAATGAAAAAATAGAATCAAGTGAAGGAACATTTCTCAAAAGAATTTACTGCGCAACTTCCTTTAAAATTTATATTATGCTCCATGAAAATCTTGTCCAAATGAAAAATACAGTAAATATGGAATGAATTAATTTTATTTAATAGAAATCCTGCAGGCAAGTGATTTTTTCTAGAAAAATGTAAATCCTATATTGAGTGAGACTTCGCCGATAAATTCGCTATAATAATTATTAATCTTTCATATTTCATACATTTTCATCCTCTCTAATTCACAATTCAGATTCAGCTTTGATAAATTTTTTTGCAAACCCTGCTCAATGATTTGAGCATCGGCATCTTGAGCTTCGGCTTTCTCAAAAGTTATTTTTTCTTACACTCATCTGAAAACACCATTTTCGAATTCAATTACTCAAAAATGTTTCATGGCAAGGAGAAAAAGGATGGATTTGTTTAATCCATTTTGATCGCACAATATACGGGTATTTGTAACTACTGATGTGCTCTAACATCATAATTCGGTGATTTCGTACAAATATTAGTCAAAATCTGGCGAACGTCTTGAAATACTTAAATCAATCGATTTTTGGCTTGGGTATGACAGGATGACAAATGAATTTTCCGATTATTTTTACAAGTTATTGCGAGGAGCCGTTGACGAAATGTCTAAGATATTCACAACTGCAACGATTTGCCTGCCGGATGGGAAATGTGGACTTCGTCTAGACCCTGGTATCGATGAAAATTAAACAAAGTTTCCACTCTCGACGATTTTTAAAAAAAATTATAAACCGAAGATTATTTCAGAAATAACTGAACTGACGGCCAAATCGAGAGACTATGAGTTGCTGGAACACATTTGGGTCACTTGGCGAAACGCGACTGGTCGGAAAATGAGGCAACTTTACACAAATTACATGACGAGTGAAAACGATACTGCGAAGAAGAAGGGTGAATTTACACGAGCAATCTCTACTGAATTCCAAATTCAGCTGATAATTTGCGAAAACTATTTTGATTTCAATGCAGGATTCGCAAATGCAGCCGACATGTGGACGGATTCGTACAACGTGAGCACTTTCCACTCGGATATCGACAAGGTTTGGCAAGAACTCGCTCCGTTGTACAAAAAATTGCACGCTTTTGTACGGCTAAAACTCGTGGACGTGTATGGGGACAAAATTGACAAGAAAGGACCGATTCCAGCTCATATCACAGGTTATACAACTTATTTTTGGGGGTGTGGGTGTATCATCTTATCTTTCTGATGGTAAACCGAGAGTAAATTTTTTTTCAAGTGATAGATTCAAAGCGTAGATTCCTCACAGCCTGAAAGGGCTTAAAAAATTAATAATATTTTCCACCTAGAAATCGACTGAGGAAATTTAAGGATTTTTTCCGAACAAATAAAAAACAGTTGTTCAATGTCAAAAATGCCTTCCACAAACATACAGTGTGTGCCAAAAAGGGAACCGATTTTTGACTTTAAATAGCTTGGTAGAAAATTGAGCTGTGATGATGGTAATGAAAAAAAAGCACCAAATGAAAGCTTGTTCAATTCTCTTACAAATGGTATGTAGTTTCATGGTCCCATACATGCCACAGAATGGTTCTTGTGACCATAGCTCAATTTGCTACCGAGCTATTTCAAGTCAAACATTGGTTCATTTTTTAGCCCACCCTGTAGATATCAGCCTCTTGCACAATTTGCTATGATTTAGATCCGCTTTCCCTGGTTTTGAGAAATCCTCACAAATCACCCCAAAAAATCAGTTTTTTTTAATGAAAAATAGGGGGGGGGGGGACTTTTTGCGCATGAAAACATGTCTGCTTTTAGGGGCAATTGTACTTTGCCACTACCTGATCTCGCGTCAAAATAGTGTACTTATTTACGTACATTAAATAAATTTCTACAGGAATCCTTTCACATAAGCTATTTTCGTTTTTTCTTACGAACTTCAGCATTCCATCAGCCATTTCCCCCGACAAATTTTCTCGCAAGCGATTTTATTTTGTGCTGTTTTCTCTGATGAGTGACACTGACTTCATAGGATGTAATCTTTGTTATCCACATCAGTTTCCTCCCAAGAAATGTATCCATACATGCGGGACTTTTTCCTTGGCACATTTCTCTCCCAATTTTTAATTCACATGAAATGCTGTTTTTCTGCACGACAAGCTTCTTCGCAATGAAATAAAATATGTTTTTTTTAGGAAACCCATGGGCGCAAGCATGGAATTACCTGGAGGACATCGTTCAACCCTTCAAAGGATTACCATCCATTGATGTCACCGAATCACTCAACAACCAGGTACCATCTGATCAGACTTGAAATTCCTTGAAATTTGATGTTGCGGATTTGAAGCATATAATTTTAGCGGGGAAATCTTCCATCAGTTTTCCGAAATTGAAAACATGTTTTGATGAGGCGCTGTCTGGGGAATTTCTTCTTTCAGGGATACACAGTTGTAAAAATGTTCAAAACAGCAGAGGAATTCTTCACTTCACTGGATTTGATGCCCATGACAAAGACATTTTGGAAGAAAAGTGTGTTAGTTCGACCCCCGGGTGTCGAAATGGCTTGCCACGCGTCAGCTTGGGACATGTGCTCCGCGGGTGACGATGAAGACTTTAGGTATATGAAGAAAAAAACATTCATTTTAAAATACTGTATTAATTAAATATACATGTATTTCTGTGTTAGGGGATTTGAATTCTTGTTTATGCATAATTTCTTAGCTAGGTAATTTCTAGTTTTAAAATACAGTGAGTCTTGGAACAAGTTTTTTGTGATAACCTCTTTTGTTGGAAACTTTACAGAACTTTAAGAAACAGTTTTACAGGATTATTCCCCAACATCAACTCATGCAGCATAAACTTGCCAAAAGCAACAGCTCAAATAATTTTTAATTTTTACTAATTTATCATTTTTTTTAAATGGAATTTTCATCATTGCTGGTCTGGAGGTTTTTACTCTAGGAGCATCTGAAACTGATATCTTTGCTATTAAATTACCACAGGACCAAAGATGCACAAAGGGAGCAAGCAGTTAAGCAGCTTGCTAGCTCATTTAAATTTTGAATTACTATGCTTGAACTTTAGCAAAAGAATGGGACAGCACTTGGTTGAAGCTGAATATAGACTGATGATATATGCGCATATCTCACTCAATTCTTCAGATACAAAATTTTGCAATACCCTAAAAGTTAGATCTTGATGTTCTCTACACTTTATGTTCCTGGTAAAATATTTCGAAGTGTCTTACTTTTTAAGATATTTGCATTTCTGCAAAATAAAGTTTTTGCCAAAGTGCTTTGCTGATAAGAATTGGTGCTCATTTCCTTGCTGATAAAATCGCCCATGGTCAGGAGCAGAGACAAAAACAAAATCATCCCACTTGGGGCATTCAGAAAATGCACAATTGGTGCAATATTTGCTGCGGCTAAATTTACATGAAGTTCATGCTGCAAAATAAAACATCCTTCTTGTCTTCAATAAAATAAAATCTCTGGGTTAAAATAAAAAATAGAGACATGCTGAAAACATTCAATTTCAACCAATATCATAGAATCAGTGAGCAGAACTTTTACTTGATTTGGTATTTACGTAACAAGCATCACTCTTCTTAAATTTGTTGAAGAGAAAAATTGAACCTTTGGTGCATCTGAAAAGCATCAATTTCCCCAAGGAGATATTATTAGGAGGCAGTTATAATTTTAAGAGACACAAAACCTTGAAACAATTTTCCAATATTTTCCATTGCCAGAATCAAGATGTGCACTCAGAAGAACCATGCAGATTTTCTCACAGCACACCATGAAATGGGACATATTCAATATTTTATGCAATACCGACATCATCCACGCCAATTCCGTGATGGTGCAAATCCTGGTAATTACAATAAACAGTTGAACCTCAATAACTCAAACCTACCAAAGTCAAATGCCTCCCAAGCTTGAATTCTTTTCAATTCACTATGCCTGGATTCCTTTAGAAACAATGCATTAAAAGCCTCCCTAGCTTTTTCTCTCAAACCTCTCAAAGTCAAATTTTTTGAGTCCTTTTGGATATTATTCTCTGGAAAAATGAAAGAGAAAATCAGTAAAAAAAAATGGTTTTATGCATCTTGAAATGAAGTGAAAGACTAATTGAAAAAATGAACGCATGCCTCCAAGTTCAGTAAACCCATCAAGGAGCAATTTTAGGCCCAGCATATCCTCATGTACAATTTCCCACAATTTTTTATGCTTCATTGTAGACAAAATGTTTGTTTCCTCAGCTCAAAACAACCAAAAATCAAAATCTCAATAAGTGGAATTTTTCCTGGTCCCTAAATGTGACTTGGAGAGGTTCAACCGTAAACAGTTTTTCTTTTTTGCCAAGAAATGTGTTTTATGATTCAATTACTTATCATTACTAATAATGCCCATTTTATTAGGTTTTCATGAAGCAATTGGGGACACATTGGCATTGTCTGTGGCGACGACGAAACATTTGAAGAGAGTCGGCTTGTTGACACCAACTCAGAAACGTCTACATCTTTTCAAGGAAAACGAATTGGACCTCAACTACTTGATGAAAGTCGCTCTTGACAAAATTGCCTTCCTTCCTTTCGGATACATCGTCGACAAATGGAGATGGTTGGACTAATTTTTTCAGCCTCTCGTCCGAGGCTATGGAAGCTTAAAATGAAACAAATTGGCTGCAATGTATGATTATAAATAGAAATCGATTCAGATTCGTTCTCATTATGGAGGGAGAACTCCGCTTATCGGCTCATGAGTCATGAAATCATGATCAAATTCGCCCGTAATTTCAAGTACAACAGATAATTGAAATAATAATATCCCAACTCATTGAGGCAAAAAGTTTACTCGCACTTTTCAATGCATTTACTTCTTGAAATATCGAATTCCACCTCGTATTCTGTAAAAAGAATAATCATTTTCATAATGAGAGGGAAATGCCACGGCTGAAATACGAATACTGTGCAGCAGGCCAATTTTGTTTTGTAATAATTGATTAAAATTTGGGAAGGGTTGATGTGCACATGGCGAATGGAAACCCAGATAATTGGATACATTATTAGATAAGGCTGTAATTTTACTCGCATCGCAGACAAAAAATATGCAAAAATTTCTATAAGTTCATGGCACGACATATTTTTCTTTCGTTAGAAATGCATGAAATAAATTTTGCTGCATCCAACACTCGAGAATCTCGAAGGCAACACGCTAAATTTGCAATCTATTCATGATATAATGTGACGAAGCCTCCAATTTTATGCGCGATTCACGGACTTGATATTTTCAAAAATGAGTAAAATAAAGCTTTCTACATTTCTCAGGGATCTCTTCAAAGGAATTGCTTCTCTGGACAAAATGAATGCTCACTGGTGGAAACTCAGAGAAGAAATTCAGGGTTTGAAAGCACCTGTGCCGAGAACAGAAGAGGATTTGGACCCAGGAGCCAAAAACCACGTTGCGACAGGATCAAAATACGTGGCGTAACTTTTTTCAGAGGATTCTTGGATATTTTGAATGAATACTAACTGAATGTTTCTCAATTCAACCATCAAGGTACTTCGTCAGCTTTATCATTCAGTTTCAATTTTACGAGGCGTTGTGCAAAATATCTAAGGAATACGAACCGAACAATCCCGAAAAGCCGCTTCATCGCTGCGATTTCTATCAGAACCTCGACGCCGGAGACGTTTTCAGGTTAGACAGAAACATACACGGTGGGCCACAAAAAGTGAACCAATTTTTGAATGGGGACATCTCTGTCAAAAATCAAGCTGCACCAAACGAAAAAAACACCCCATGAAAGCTTATTCAATTCTATTTCAAATGTTTTCTTGTCTTCAGTCCTAAACGTAATCAAATGGTCACAAAAACCATTTGAATAAAAACTTTAAAAAAAAACGTTGTCACAAAACTCTTCCTGCTAAGCTGCGGTCTCCAAATCCTTCCAAATACTACGTTTAAAATTACTAAAACCAACATCAGTGCACCAGAAACAAAGTTCAAGATAAATACAGACAGGAAAATAAATAAGCCCCAACAAATCCACCCAGGCAAAAACCAGAAGAAAAATAAAAATCATTAAGCACATGCACACAAACACCCAGGAACTAAAGAGAACATGAGTTGGCTTTTCTTTCAATTACACTTAAGAAAAATAATCACATGCTCAAATAATGCAACTTATTTTAATTATTTTCAAAATGAGAAACCTTTCTTCAAGCCACCTCTCTAATTTTTTTTAAACATTTCACTATATGCCTGCTTCATTGGATCTTAATTTTTGCAAGAAAGCAGAGACTTTTAAAATGCCTGCCATAAAGCTTCCTGCAAAAATGTTACAAAACTTTGCCTGTCTGCAGACAATTTTTGGGAAATTTGCAGGTCAGCAAAATGTTTAAAGGCAATTTGCTGGCCCGCAGTCCCAAAACATTGTGTAGGACATTCCTTTTTTTCAAGGAAGTTTAAAATCATGAAATATTGTTTTTTTTAATCTTGCAACCCACTTTCAGGGAGGGCATGAGACAAGGATCATCTTTACCTTGGCCAGATGTGATGCAAATAATCACAGGTCAAAGAAGCATGACTGCAAAGCCTCTGAGGACTTACTTTTTACCTCTAGAAAAGTACCTGGAGAAAGAACTTGCTGCTGCAGAAGAATGCATCGGTTGGGGAAGTAAGTTGTAAACATAATTATAAAAATATTAAATTCATTGCTCATAGAAGTCTGATTTATTTCCCAAGGTGACTGTCAATGACGAGTTGCATTTAAGACCGAGACATGCGTAAATCCTAAAATCTCACGCATTCAATACAAAGCGTGAGTTTGACTGTGCTGAAAAATGCTGCGGATTCAGAAGTCAATCGTATACAAAAATTAATTTTTGCTAGCGGGATATTTCGCTATAAATTTTTTTCGTTTGAATAATACCGCAGGTGACAAAAATACCCACTAAGCATTAGCCTCAATCCTAAATAGCCGAAACATTTTAAAATTCGAATGCTGTTTTACAAAGACTGTTATGTTCTAACTGGCGTGCAAATCTTGAGAAAAATAAATAAGTAATAAAGAATAAACAGAGGTTAAATGCGAAAAAGATATTGCTCTGGATCAATTTCATGTTGGAGCCTGTAACACTGTGATGAGTGAGAAAAATATTCCCATGAGAGATAATGACACCATCAAGAAAATAATAGTGGAAAATCCGAGAGCGGACTTTCAATTGCAGATGGCAATAAATAAAAATCAATCATTGAATCTGGCGTCTCTGCAAAAGGTTTACTCTTCTTTTTTGGCGCTTTTTACAGTGTCTGTGGCGGCCCAAAGACGCAGCTCCAGCATCCCGCTGAAACTGGACCCAAAAACTTATTAGAATTCCAAGGCCAGTGAGCCTCCCAAAAATCCCATTTTTGTGAGACTCACTGAGCCTCACTCAAGGACAAAAAGTGGTCATCACTTCTTTGATTTTGCCTGAATTAGCCAACCCTGAGCCAGGAAGAAATCACCTGATTTCTTCCTGACCCAGTCCAAGCACCTGGGTATAAAAACCCTCATTCCTTTTTGAGAGAAGAAGTCAGAACCTAGTGTGAAAGGGCCTTTTAACTTTTATTACCTCGTTCATTTTTCTGAGCTGACCAATCAATCTTAAATTGACTCTGCCATCACAATCATTCAATTAACAGCCGATTGATGATCTGGGCAGTGAGAATGAACTTCTCTGAAAAGAGTTTGAGTTCTTATTGAATGAATGAATGAACAGAAAACTTTATTTGCCGCTTTTCAGCTAAACTTGCATTCTGATGGCTGCACAATTCAATTCCTTTGTCTGGGATCCAATGTACCCATGACAGTGTCTATATGCATATTTTGGGATGAGCATGCATACGGACTTACCAAAAAATAAAAAAAATTTTTGAACAGTGGGAACTCTGGAATACACAAAGTTTGTTTTTAATGTGTGCTGTAAATTGTTTCTGTGCCATTTTTTTCACAGGAAAATTTTGCAGCGCCGGTATTTTCTCCCTAGTCCGAACGTTTGTGTGGCACTTTGATGCTGTCAGGATTTTCAACAATAAGCGATTCATAAAAAAAAATGCATATATATTTAGAAGAATGTGGAATACCAACCGGAATCTGTTGAATTTATTTTTCCATTGATACATGAATGTATTTGATCGATCAACCACGTGGATTGGGGGGTCTTCCAAGTATCTTTCGCTGAAACAAACACAGTGAAATTCCCAGTGGGATTTAGTGATTGTTTTTGGTCTGGGTGCCTCATCCGAATACGAAATTCTGGATCCGATTTTCCAAAGACGAATCAATAGTGCTGCGATACTTTCAAGGAGAAAACGTAGCTGCTTCAAGCAGCCAACATTCAATTCATGATTCCGCTAAACAAATCCGGCATTTTCTTTTCAAGGCTTTGACTTTGATGTGGAAAATCGGATTTGAAGAGATATTTACCGGTAATTCCAAACAACTCTGGGAATCCTCTCAGTATTCTCCGAATAAAAAATTTCACAGTGCCTGGAATTTTTAAAACACGGAAAACGTGTGAGCATGTTCCTGTCAGTAATTTATTTTTTTCTTTTTCAGGGTGGAAAAAGCAAATGTGAAAGGTCTAATACCGATCATTATGTCGAATGCTTCAGTCTGGGTGATTGTGAAAATCGCAGTTCTGTTTATCAATTATTCCAATCGAATGAATGCTGCGATCAGCAATTCCGTCGATGGTTCCATCGAACGTTTTTATCTCGAACCTGACCCGACTCAACTCAAGTCCTTCCGAGTTATTTTGAGTCCAACTGAAATCGAACAGGGACAAGCGAAAGATTTCCTGGACCGGATGGAAGTCAAACACAACCACGTTTGCCACCTGGCAAGTGCTGCTCAGTTCGAATATGAGTCCAACATCACGGAGGAATCGGAAGCCAAAGCTGTGAGTAAAAAGAAAATTCTGATTAGTACATTGAACTTCCTTTTTATAAGCTTGCGACCCTAAGATAAATGTACAGTATCAGGATATATGCACCAGTGAGAGATTTTTACTGTTGACATAATCATATCTTGAGTTTGATATTCCACAAAGCCATCACAGTTTTGTAAAATTCTATGTTTATTTAGGGCACTATACAGAGGAATGCAATTTTGGCTGTGTTCAAGTAATTAACTTCCCATGGGGAAAATTTCCATGCACTAGAAAACTTTTTATTTTTTTAGAATTATCCATTACACAACTAAAACAACTAGAGCCACTGAAACAACTAGAACAACTGTGACAACTAAAACAACTAGTACAACTGTGACAACTAGAACAAATGTAACAAATAGAACAACTGTAACAACTATAACAACTACTGTATAATAACTGTAACAACTAGAACAACTGTAACACCTGGAACAAATGTAACAACTAGAACAAGTGTAAGAACTAGAACAACTAGAACAAGTTGAAAAACTAGAACAACTAGAACAAATGTAAAAACTAGAACAAGTTTAAAAACTAGAACAAGTGAACAAGTGTAACAACTAGAACAAGTGTAACAACTAGAACAAGTGTAACAACTAGAAAAAGTGTAACAACTAGAACAAGTGTAACAACTAGAACAAATGTAACAACTAGAACAAGTGTAAAAACTAGAACAAGTGTAACAACTAGAACAAGTGTAACAACTAGAACAAGTGTAACAACTAGAACAAGTGTAACAACTAGAACAAGTGTAACAACTAGAACAAGTGTAACAAGTTGAAAAACTAGAACAACTAGAACAAATGTAAAAACTAGAACAAGTGTAACAACTAGATTACTAGAACAAGTGTAATAACTAGAACAAGTGTAACAACTAGAACAAGTGTAACAAATAGAACAAGTGTAACAAATAGAACAAGTACTCCTGGAACAAGCGTAAAAACTAGAAAAAGTGTACCAACTAGAACTATAGATGGAATTTAATTTGTTTATCTAGTAATAGTTTTGATTCCTAACACACCTGAACAGAACGCAGTTGGACAGGAATCTTGGGAGAAAACAACGTTCTTCAACCAGTGTGAGAGGTACGCTTTCAGTGAGAATGGGCCTTTTCCAAATTGGAAAAAGTACAGCCCTGCAGTACGAAACCTGATCCAGGCGGACATCAAACAGAAACATAGAAGAAAACACGGCCCTAGAATGGACAAAACTGTAAGCATTGATTTCTTGCCTTTTCATTGCGACATAATACATTAAAAAAATTGAAAAACAAGGATTTCTTGGAAATGAAATTGAATAACCTTTTTTTGGCATACTTTATTCACCCCTTTTACGCTTGACAAGAGAAAAGCCGGATTTTGATACATTGTTTCGTGAAAGGGGGACGTTGACAGCCAAAATTGTGTAAAAATAATCCAAGACAATCTTTTGTTAGAGGGGCCGTCAAAATTTCCCATACAGATTCATTAAAATTAATCAAAAGATTCCTTAAAATTAATTTTAATTATTGAAGCAATAATAATTAAAAGAGTAGAACCGACAAAAGTGCCTGGCGTTTTTTTTTTTTGGTTGGGAATGAAATCAGAGTTGAACAAGATTTTGACTGCAAAACAACCTTTCGAGTTTAGACCACATCCACTTGAAATTCTGCTGCGGCCTATAATTCGCTACTGTACCTTGATCATAGGCCGCACTGGATTCCCCAGAATACTTTTCTGAAGAAGTGCGGAATTCGTGTAAAAACGAGAATATGCGATAATATCCTGACTTACTCAAGTTCGCTAAATGATACCAAGACAGCGATTGTTACGTAAATACCAAATCAAGTAAAAGTTCTGCTCACTGATTCCAGTCTCAAGCGATTTTTCAATCTAGAATCTCACAAGAGTAGAAAATTCACAAGAAATTCAGATATTGATGAAAGGCAAAATTATCTTCCGACATAACGATATAATGCAACGTTTTCCCCCGAATAATTACAGCGATTTCCGAAGCATATGGGAAGCAGAGAGACAGAATTAATTTAAGACATTCTTTAAAACATACACATACTGTATACACTGCATTATATTGTCTAGCAGTTGCGAGGAGCTGCTGACGAAATGTCGAAGATATATTCAACTGCAACCATTTGCTTGCCTGATGGTAAATGCGGACTGCATCTGGACCCCGGTATTGCTCATAATTTTCCAGTAAACTTCTGATTCAATTTTGAAGCTTGATCAAACCGATGATTCCTGCAGAAATAACTGAACTGACGGCCAAATCGAGAGACTATGAGTTGCTGAAACACATTTGGGTCGCTTGGCGAGACGCGACCGGCCGGAAAATGAGGCAACTTTACACGAATTACATGACAAGTGAAAACGACACTGCGAAAAATGAGGGTGAATTTACACGAACAAACTACTGAATTCCAAATTTAGCTGATAATTTGCGGAAACTATTTTGATTTCAACGCAGGATTCGCAAATGCAGCCGACATGTGGACGGATTCGTACAACGTGAGCACTTTCCACTCGGATATCGACAAAGTTTGGCAAGAACTCGCTCCGTTGTACAAAAAATTGCACGCTTTTGTTCGGCTAAAGCTCTTTGACGTGTATGGAGACAAAATTGACAAGAAAGGGCCGATTCCAGCGCATATCACAGGTGTGATCTATAAAATAAATACATTTATTCCCTTTTGTTTATCGTCGTAAAGACGAAATTTTGGGAAGAAAAATTCCCAATAGTGATTTTTAAACTAAAAGCGACATTTTATGTGTAAAATTAAAGATTTTATATGCATTACCAACAAGCGAAGGTTTCGCTGGCAAAAGAATAAGCTACACAAATGCTTTCAAATACTGTATCTGAAGCTTGAAATAGTTTTTTTTTGGATATATAATTGGCAAGCGTCCACAGTTTGAAAGAGTTGAGAATAAAGACGAAAATTCCGCAAAGAAACAATTGGAAAGTTTGAGAGAAAAATGCTATCATGAATAGAATTTTTCCAGAGCAAGGAATGAATGCAAAAATTCGTTGAAGTATCGAACTTTGAGCCAAGGAATAGTTTATGTACAGATGTTGGTGTTCATCTATAGTTGATGTGGCAATTCCCGAAAAAAGGAAGAAAAAAATCATTCATCTTCCACCATACTCCAAGTTGAAAGCCAACTGCTACATGAGCAAGCCAAATCCATCTTTAACCATTGGAGGGTTCTTTTCAATGGACTGAAGGAGTTGGGATATATTTGCAGGGGCAGCGAATTTCAGTTTGACCCAAGGTCACTAAAATTTGCCCAGGTTGAGAAGGCCTGAGCATGAAAAAATCTGGAAGGAAAATTTTCTGTTGTTTTCAGGAATATTCCATGCTATCCACATCCCAGGAATGTTGGAAAAATGCCACCCAGCGAGGGATTGTTTCAATTCTTCATGCAGAATTTTCTGCAGGATTAGAAAAAAAAAGTTTGAATTTTTCCCAACTTAGGCCCTATTACAAAGGTAGGATTTTTAAAATTTCCACTGCTCAGTGGCACAAAAATTTTCAAAAATATTCTGACTTTGTGACACAAGGATTAACATATATGCAGGCACTATTTTGCAATTTGACCCTAATCTGTATGTTGCTGAACTAGGGTGAAATTGCAAAAGAGTTCAATTGCAAGACACTTTGTGAAATTGTGAAATATCAGCACAAAAATGCAAAAAATTTGACAAAGCAGGTTGAATTCTGGAGCCAAGGTCAAATTTCAAGTCAACCTTCCGGCAAATTTGACTGTATAATTGTGGGATGGTCAAATTGCAGGAGGTAAAATTGCAAGGTACCACCTTTATGCAGTGGTCTGCTATTAATCCTTGATTGGTTAAAGGAAATCTTTGTGTGATTTGAAAAATGCTGAGTTTTTGCATCTAATTTTGGGGGAAAGAGGATGTGTGAAGAAAATTGAAAGTACTCAGAAATCCATTAAAAATTGCCAGCCCTTTCCAGGCTAATTGCCATTTTACACTTTATCCTTATTCAACAGTTCAACTGATTCCTTCTGTCATATCAAGCCGCAAAACCATCACAAACCATCACTGGTTAAGTTGAGATAACACCTGTAAATATTTCTGGCATTTTCGGTCTTTGTCAAATCTATGATAATCATTAATAAAAAAACAAAAGCTGTTTACTAATTCCCCAGATTTATCTTACTTGTGTAGCCCGAAGAGAAATCTGAGCTTCATCGGCAAACTTTTCTTCCCAAGTTTCTGCTTCTTCGGGCTCTTCTCCTAAAAGCACGTTTTTCGCGCTTTAATTCAGCAATTTGTTTTTTTTTTGTTTTTCTTCCAGGGAATCCGTGGGCTCAAGCGTGGAATTATCTGGAAGACATTGTGCAGCCATTCAAAGGACTGCCTCACATAGATGTCACCGAGTCACTCAACAATCAGGTGCCATTATAAAGATAAAGATCAGAATTTCTGGTAATATGATCTGGTTCATAGAAAAAAATCGAAAATAATTGCTTACAAATCGTTGCTCTCTATATTAACTTGGAACGGTATTCGGTATTTTTCAAATAATTGTTTTTGATAAAGATCAGAATTTCTGGTAATATGATCTGGTTCATAGAAAAAAAATCGAAAATAATTGCTTACAAATCGTTGCTCTCTATATTAACTTGGAACGGTATTCGGTGTTTTTCAAATAATTGTTTTCCCTCCCCTCCCCAGGGATACACGGTTCTCAAAATGTTCCGAACAGCGGAGGAGTTTTTCACGTCGATTGGTTTGATGCCGATGACGTCGACGTTCTGGAATAAAAGCGTCCTTGTTCGTCCACCGGGTGTCGAGATGATTTGTCACGCGTCAGCTTGGGACATGTGCTCTGCTGAAAAAGACGACTTCAGGTTTGTTAGTTCAGAAGCAAAACAGGTCTTTATCGCAAGCATGAAATTTAAGAGAGTTTGTTGATCAGTTTTGATACTTTTTGAATCCCATGGAGTTATAAAAACTCCGAAACTTTTTTATTTTTTACTCACGTATCATTTGGCAACACTTCAACATGCTCTCCGCCGATTTCGATGCGTTATTCTTCATGCAATGAATTCAACCATCACAAAATGGGCCAAAAATTGAGTTATTTGATTAGGCACCCTCTGACTTCTATCTGTTCCCAACAGTGAAGAACAACTTGATATTATTTGATTTTGAGGAAAGAGACAGCCACATTTCCACCATCGAAGAACAGGTTAATCAATTTCAACAGAATTCAATTTTGCCACTATTATGATGGTTTATGGATTTATGGCATGAAAATTGGTGTAGAGTATGTTGAACAGCACTGAAGTGTTGCCAAATGATGTGGCTATGCGTGTATAGTAATTTTTTTTTGGAATTGTTAAAACTCCATTGGCTTTATTTAAAAACTCTCAAAACGTATGAAAAAACCCTTGCATGTCGATATCAATAATTTTAAATTTTTTCAAAGAAGGAATTTTATAAAATTAGGAGGAATTAAAAATTCGACATTAAAAAATCCCAAATATTTGGCGGAAAACAGGAAAAAATTAGCCTTTTCACAATTCTGCAAGTAAGAGCGCATGCCATAATTTCTGATGACGATCTCGCCTCTTTTTCAGGCCAAAAACACAA